GCTATTGAGAGCTGAACAGTAGAGTATCATAAGACAAAATACAAAAACATTTGAAGGCTTCCGAACATCAATGATCGACCAGCGGACCAGACATATTTTGTTTGACCTCCACACAATAAGTTTTTTAAATCAACCAAACTTGTAAAACACAAATTTTTTGCGAAGTACGTTTCATAGAAAGCAAGCGAAACACTTCGTTAAAGGCTACACTTGGTATGACAAGGAGAGATCACCAAATGAAGACCTCACTTTCAGTATTTGTGATTTTATATTTTTGAGCATCGACATGCAAAGCTAATCGCACTGATAACCACCGTGCATGCTCCAACTTAACCCTTTGTACTCCAGAGCTCACAGAATTGAAACGGGGCGGGGGAGGACGGGGGGGGGGGGGGGTAGTGTTGTATTTTCACTGCCCGTTTCAGAGACCAGAGGCAAGGGTTTCGATTCGCTGCATTGCACGCCCTTGCTGCCGGGGTGAGAGGCAAGCGATGTCAGTTAGCCTCATCTGTCTGCTGCACCGGGTACACGCTCCGGCGAAAGATTACGCTCGTTAAAATGCAACGAAAACCGATCAGCTGTAGCTTTTTTGGATCCCTTATATTTAGCGACTCCTGCTGTGAGCAATGCCCGATGTACATGACGACTGTGGTGTACCCAGACTGGGACCGGCCTGCTAAAATCTAGCAGTGCATGCTAACAGAGGGCGCAGGACAGACTTTTCGTGTGTCGGTTAGAGACGCAGCTCGTACCACACATATTCACGATATTTCAAACGCGTTGTCTTCTTGTAGAATGTGAATTATCTTGTCATGTGCTTTCATTCAGCGCATCAACTTTTCAGTAAATAGTGGGGAGAGTGCTAAGCTGGAGTTTCGCAGCATTTTGAGATTCAAACCCCAGGTTATGTGAGTTTGGATTTGCATTCGAATTCAAAACTGTATACGCGACTGGACTTGGTTAGTGTATATTTGAATCTGAATTATTCAGATGCAATAACAACAAAGCAAGTGACTCAGTCCGAAAAAGCAAAACCGATATATACTCGTGACATCCAGATAATTTGGAGACATTGTAAACTCTCACACACACACACACACACACACACACACACACACACACACACACACACACACACACACACACACACACACACACACACACACACACACACACACACACACACACACACACACACACACACACACACACACACACACACACACACACACACACACACACACACACACACACACACACACACACACACACACACACACACACACACACACACACACACACACACACACACACACACACACACACCACACACACACACACACACACACACACACACACACACACACACACACACACACACACACACACACACACACACACACACACACACACACACACACACACACACACACACACACACACACACACACACACACACACACACACACACACACACACACACACACACACACACACACACACACACACACACATATATATATATATATATATATATATATATATATATATATATATATATATATATATATATATATTTGCATTTAATACTTACTTTTCATAACATACTTAATACATTTACTTACACATACAAGTACTTAATACATTTAATTGCACGTTTAGATAATGGCTTTTATGATCCAGTGTGATTTTGAAAATTTTAATCGCGGTTTTCTGTACCCAAACTGTTTTGTTTAGGATGTGAGCGCCCAAAGGATTGGAACCTTTTCGAGCATATACGAATCCTGCTAATCCGAATCCTCAGCCTTAGTGAGGACGTGCTCCGACACGCACTCTGACAAGTATGGAGGCCTGTGACAGTGTGTTTGCTCATCTTTGTGTGCCTATCGACCCTATATCATCTCAGGTAAAGCCATCTCAGAAATTTTGAAAAGAATTGTCATTGGGCTCACCTGCTTGTGTCCCGCTGCTCGGACGCTGACCCGTGGCATGGAATTATACGAATGTGCGGTTCCCATGAAAATGTTTTAACCACCCTTCAACATATTTTCTGAGTGTGCGCACCTCCAGGGTCTTGTAAAGTAAAGAGCTAAAACATAGCGCCAGGCTCAACGCGAGGCATGATGCGTGTTTTATGATTGAATTTACGTGAGCGCGGGTCAAAACGCCTTCCTTGTGATGCGCCCGGCATGTACAGCCTGAATTGAGCGTTATAATGAATTTACGTGAGCGCGGGTCAAAACGCCTTCTTTGTGATGCGCGCGGCATGTACAGACTGAATTGAACGTTATAATGGCTTTACCCGGATGATCAGCAGTTTAGATTAACCTGTCACAAGTTAACAACACACGTTGCGAGTTATCGGCAACCTGTTTTCCAAAACCATTTGCTCGGAAATGAACCCTTTTCTGTGCTTGATTGTGAGCCTGAACTCGTGAGTAATATGACTATAAGTCACACCGCATGACACATTGCGGACTTATCGGCAAACTGCAGTCCGAAATCATCTGCTCGGACGTGGAATCCTTTAAGCGCTTGCCTATGTTGCGCCATTTTGACGTGACTTATGATGGCAATGGGCTCGGCTTGAGCTGCCACGAAATCGTGACACAAGCGTTGTCAATCCGAAATGTGAAATCTGACGTGTCAAACAAAAACATCAGGAATGTGAAATAAAATCCGAACGCGCTATGCGAAAACACTAAAGATATTCTGAAGCTAACTGCAGTGTCGAAGAGCGAATGTCACGGACATTGAGACTAGACCTAGGATAATTTAATATTTTGAGTAATCCGGCATGACCTCATGTTACGTACTAGAACACATAACTTCATTACAACGCTAAATAAGCATGTGGAACGGTTTGGAAACAAAGGCATCTACACTGTCGGTCAGCGTTTTAACATCGCGCTGACCCGGCCATTGATGACTGACCTCCAATTTGTTACAATGTTCTTCGAATATTTATTGAGAGATACTGAAATATCGGATCCCTGTAGTCACCAGTGCAGAAGTAATGGCAACACAACTGAAGGGGGCGGGTGGCGTTAAACACGTTCCCCGGTCAGTGCGGGATAGCTATGGCACTGGATCTTGTAAAACGCTGATGCCGTCAGAGATGAAGGCGCTTCCCGGGGTTGGGATGTCGCCGCTGAGATGACCTCCATGCCGCTGCGATGACTTCCACGCCGAGCTGTCGAGCTCGCGTGAGCGTGCCCACGCTTGTCCTTGTGGAGTGTGTGCCGTGCTGTGGCCAGGCTTGCACCATCAATGTGAGGACCCCGTGACCATGATCTCCACGATACGACTGCAATGTGTGTTTGTGTGTTTAGCAATTGTTATGGCCAAACTTCGCAGGTAATATGCATGCGGAAGCAATTGCGGAAGCGGAATGGTTTGGCTGGTCAACATGGATGGCCTACATGGGCGAAATACCGGACTGAAAACATAAAGTGGGTTTGTTTTTAGGATCTATTTGACTTAACCGTAAATGTGACAATTCACCATACCGATGTATTTTAACTCTTCACGTACGACGCAACACGGAAGGGACCGGATTCAGCACTGAGAAGCTTTGTTCGAAGGCCCGACCATAGCCATACCGTGGTAACGCAAAGCAGAAAAAACAGCGATTTGATGTGAGTGATTGGGTAAGACAATGATAAACAGTGACTCAATGAGGCAAGCAGTGATTCGATGTCAGAACGTGTCTTGGAATTGCCTGAAGTCCAATGGCAATTGTCACCGAATTCAATACTAATAGAAATGCGTGAAAGCAATGTTTTATCCTCACATACCGTGAGATTATATACCCATTTGACTTTATTTGATATGCATGACAATATGTATAGCATCCGAACAAATATGGCAACTGGAAAATAGCCGAGAGGAAACAACAATGAAAAAGGGTTTGTTGTCGACCGTGATGGGAGTGTCAATAGAGAAAGGCCGAAGGATAGGAAGTCGGAGGAGATAAATTCCAGAACGAAAAAAAATCAAAGGACGAGGGGTGAAAATGAGCAAAATCTGACAGGGATAAAGCAAGTCAAAATCAAGCTCAGAGGGAGAACATAGAATGAGGGGGGTGAATATGGATAAAATCTTAGAGGGACAATCAAATAAAAATGAAACAAAAACAAAAAGTAAAAAAATGCAAAACTGGTCAAGGGGCAAGATGTTAAAACAAACGCAATTTTCTGAGGGTAAAGTTGAAGGGAAAAATGCCTAAACGGTCAGTACAAGTCCACAAGGAAGGCCGTCTAAGCTGGCCGGTGGCACCGGCGGAACAGGCCTTGCGTGATCACTCCGCGTGGCGCGGACTGTTTTATCGCCTCCACAACTGCCACCGTGTCAGCCTTGCCTCCCCGAGGTGTCATGTTGTGCATAGTATAGCGTGCCGCGCGGTCTGCAAGCGTTTGAATGTCACACCAACTGTGCTGGATCTGCATATAGGTAATGTGGTGACTTTCCGATGGTGGATGGTAGATAGTCTGCACCTCTGCGCCTTCGACCGATCTTGCTTAGTATTACGTCGCTGAATAGAGACTGCGATCCTTCTTTTATAATTTGAGAATTAAGATGCGGCTGAAATCGCGATCCTTCTTTTATAAGTAGGGAATTAAGATGTGAAGAATGACGGCCTTCAATGCACCAGGCGCCACTGATTAAACGACGTTATCGACTCAAAAAGAGAAAAATAGACATTTGTCTGGACAATGTAAGATATACCAGGACGCCACTCCAGGGCCCCATTAACTTGGAATCCTATGGGACGCTGGATCCCACATGTCTGTAAGTAAGCATTACTCGCACTGGACTCATATATAATGAAAGCTGGCCGTGTTCCAACGTGTGTCGTGTGTGCTGCCGTCTGAATGCAGCAAGCTACTCAGCACCTCGTCGCTAATCTGTGGTAAACTTGTATGTATAAATATATATATATATATATATATATATATATATATATATAACATTATAACGTGCTTTTTCTTTCGCTGCAGATCGCACTCAGGAGGAATCCAAATGTCGCCGCGGCCCGAGGAAGAGGAGTCGTCGCGTCCTCAGTTCACCATTGGGGACCGGCGACGATCCACTCAGAGCGAGGAGCCCCAACTGAGGCCACCGCAGTACAGACGAGGTGGCTATCACGCATCCATCCCCCTCCCTGAAGTCAGGAACGTCGAGACATAAAGTAGCGTTCAAGATATACAACACGGATGGTGACCGCTCATGTGTGGGCGTCATGGACGTCCCCAACCGTGGCGTTAGTTACAGCCGTACTCGAGCAGCTTTGGGCTCAATGAACCTGACGCTGCGGGTGGAAAAATACACATTTTACAAATGGTACATTTGAGCAAAATTTCAGCATGCGTATAAGGCACAGCTTCGAATCGAGTTAGACCACATGCATTCGCTAAGCGTTGTGGTGTCGAGGATCGTGCCAGCGGACAGTAGTCATGCATTGCAAATTAAACGTTTCGGAGAGTTGTACCCAATGAGGATTTAGTTAAAAATGGGAGGTAAAAGTGGCATCATGTCATTTTTACTCCCGTACCATTCTTTTTTTGCTTTTTATTTTCCCATTTTCATGCTAGAATAGTCGCGTGAAGCTTCAGTCTTGCCATTACAAGTTTTGGAGCAAGTTATGCTTTTAAATACGTCAGCTAACACATAATAGTGTTCAAAATGCGGTAGCTCTCCCTATTATAGGGTTATGGCGAGACGACTCGAGCAAACAATTGCAAAAGCGTAATAGTTCGGCTAGACAACATGTATGACCTACATGGACGAAATATGACATTGGAAACATGGATTTGGTTAATTTTTTACGATCCATTTATATTAATCGTAAATGTAGCAATGCACCACACCGAAGTATTTGAGCTTCGCACATGCTACACGACACTGCGGAAATATTTCAGTTCAGCAGTAAGAAGTTTTGTTCGAATGCCCGGCCATACCCACACCATGGTAGCGTAAAACAGACAGAGTTTTGGTGTCAGAACGTGTTTTGGAATTTGCTGAAATCCAACCATAATTCCCACCGGATCAAACGTGACTAGCAACGCATGCGACCAATGTTTCATCCTTACATACCCTGAGATTATGCACTCATTTGTGTTTCTGTCAACATGAAATATTTACATAACGATGTTTAAAATCACTGCTGTGATTGAGCCTCAGATATATTCCTTCCATAGCTTGGACAAGTCCGCCGACAGCTATGAGTGCCATTTTAGTGCGTTTCGTAAAGTACTAATTTAAAAATAATTAGAAATGAACGGCCGAGAATACCGCCTGTTTAACACTTGAAATGGAAGTCATTATTGCGCAAGTAGGTGAGGTGCCCTAGAAGAGGCCACGTCCTCCCGATATCTAGGTCAAAGGTCGGGTTTTGACGTCACATCTACTCAATGGCTTCGGGTGCAAAATAAGGATGGACAGGCTGTTCAGATGGCTAGTGGGCACCGGTTTTCATATGCGGAGAACGGTAGTCAGGATCCTACTCGGCGGTCCCCGCCGAGTAGGATCTTAGAATGGTATGTCTTGTTTTCAACGCGATCAATGTTTCAGGACAGAAGTGTGTTTCCTCCTTGGTACGCTGCTGCATACATCAAAAGTGGCTTATTTTTATTTATTTAATGAATTCAAGATTCATTAGCTGTAATATATATATATATATATATATATATATATATATATATATCTGGTATATATATATATATATATAGTAATATATACATCTCTCTCTCTCTCTTCTCTCTCTTCTTCTCTCTCTCTCTCTCTCCCTCTCTCCTTCCCTCTCTCTTCTCTCTCTCTCTCTCTCTCTCCTTCTCTCTCTATCTCTCTCTCTCTTCCTCTCTCTCTCTCTCTCTCTCCTCTCTCTCTCTCTCTCTCTCTCTCTTCCTCTCTCTCGTCTCTCTTCTCTCCCTCTCTCTCTCTCTCTCTCTTCTCTCTCTCTCTCTCCTCTCTCTCTCCTCTCTCTCCTCTTCTCTCTTCTCCTCTCTCTCTCTCTCTCTTTATATATTTAAATGGATGTAGAACATCTGCATTTTGCATTCGCAAACTTGAGGTACTCGTGCATGATTTGGCAGCTCAGCTCACTTGCAGCTCTCCATTCAGCAGCTCTTTTACACACCCGCTCCTAGCCCACAGAATTAAATCTCTTTTGCTTCTGCGTTGAGCGTACCACGTGGCCGGTAATGTGTGGTAATCTGTTTTCACGTTGCGCTGTAAGTTAACAGACTGATGCGATTGGGAGATAAGTGGATTACAAACAACGTGTCGCTGTCCTTGATGTCACAAGGAATTTTGTCTGCAGATTTCATACTTGTAATCACGTTCTAAGAGATATGTTATCGAGCATGTTTCACGTCATTCAGCTATTATTGGTATGCACTGAAAACAACGTACGCAAAAACAGTGGCTGTCTCCCTTCAAGTTGGATCAGTTATTGCGAATGCCCTCTGGCAGCATTGGGATCGTACTCTTAACTTTAAGTGGAAGTTGTTTTTCTGCACCTGACTCTTCTGCTGAGTGCCGTTTACAAATCCAGAGCAGTTTCGCCACGCCCAAAAATTAAGCCAGTGTGGCAAAATATTTGCATAACGTCAACTACGAGACAATACAGGAGTGTGTTACAGACTACGTGTGTGTTATGCAACAGTTTTTTTGCGGCGCCTTCCATTGGTGCTTAAAGGAAATGTTCTACGTTTGAAGATATTGAAGCAAGCATCAGATATGATGAAATAATCTCACTCTTGGCCGTAATCGCTGCATGGCCAATAGAGTAATAGGTTTTGAGTAGCATTCTAACGTCATCAATGCCTGGGTGACCTTGAAATAGTCTCCCCGGAATAGTTCGCACATCTTCGCTGGCGTGTAGCTCAGAAACTAGACAGGGTTGGGTCTTAAGATGGGCAGGGCTATGAACTGCACCGAATGAACTTCAAGATGGCTAGTTTTGTTCAAAACTCAACACAGTGTGCATTACTCCCTTTAATTTTTCCATCTGAATAACTGCCACTGCCGCTAGTAATGCGGCAATGTGGACAGACGTCCAGCCATGTCTGGTGGAGTAAATATGCTGGAAAAAAGCCAAAAGCTTGCCACATATGTCTTTATTTGTGGAAGGCGCCGCATCGTGTACAGATGCACTCCAAAGCGCAGGCTGAGTCATACGGTTGCCGGACTCCGCAAGTATTCAATTACCCGAGGCATCTATCTCGCCCAAGATACTCCAGGGAAAGCCAGCGTTTGCAGATTATCTCCTGAAAGTGGCTCCTCCACGCTGATACAGAATCAGAAAGCATCACAACAGCCGTGCTTCCACAAGTAGAACAGTTTCCAACTGGTCACGTTATGTGATTAGGTTTCCTCAAAACATTCAGCTATAATTTTAATGCCATTGAAAATTGCCACTTATCCCCTAATTCACTTGGCTATTTCTTTTTGCGGGGAGTTGTATGGTTACTTCGACGATATTCTGCACAGCTATGGACCTCACACGTACCAACTGAACGCCAGCGTCAACTCGATGGCCTGGGGTACTTTTATTACGGCGGGGTATTTGTTCATCGCGTTACTTTCTCAGGCAGGGCGCAAGCATGGCAGTGTTTTAAGCAATTGGTATTTGTAAGAAATGTCAACTTGCTTGCTGAGATAACATGTTCATGTTCTTTCTGGGAAAAATCAAACTAAAATATTTCTTGCGGGACTCATTCCCTTTCTAAGTGCCTAGTCCCTACACCATATTCGGGATCAATCAATCAAGCTATAGAGACACACAATGTAATGGTTGTTACATTTCCTAACCTTTGAACCAACAACATATGGCGCTCTTTCCAGGAAATTCGGAAGTTCTCAGAGAAAGCTCGCAAGAGCGGGTAAATCGCCATTTTTTACACTGCGGTCAAGGCTATATGACAAGTTAGATCCGTGCACTTCCCGAAAGAGGTTACAAGTTGTACACAAAGGGCTCAAGTGTTATCACCGCGGTATTGCTTGAAACCAGACGCATGTTACTAGCTGATTAAGGATATGTAGCGGTGAAATTCAGCTTTGATTTAAAACCTTAAACAATTTTCAAACAGCAAACTGCACAACATTGTTCGGCGATAACATAACTGAAATGTTTTCCCTTGTAACTCCATTTTGTATTAATATGTTATTTATGACTACTTCTGCTTATTATTACCACTTACTGCATAGCACTTACTTCTTCTTATTACTAATTTATGACATATCCATATATATATATATATATATATATATATATATATATATATATATATATATATATATATACAAAAATATATTACTTAATTTATTATATTGCTATTATTCTATTAAGTATCACTTATCATACTACTGATAACTATTTACTACTTATTATTATTTCTTTACAAACTTAACTTCACGGAGACCACGGCCCGCCAGCTTCACTAATAGCGGTATGCCCGATTACATAGTGATAACTTCCGAGGAATTTGTGCGCCGATAGCCTGCACAGTTTCAGTCCTTCATGCATGCAACCTAGCGCGCAAAGTTCACGCCAGCATCGAACAATTCGTAAAATGCATTTGAAATCTGACGCCCGCATACCAAGCTTCTTTAGATATGAGTACATGGTAGGTTACTTCATAAAAGTAAGTATCCCCACGACTATCTGACAGTGAACGGTCAGTGCTTGTCCCAGTTTGCGTGCATAGTCTGCTTTGCGGTCGAGCCTTAGTGACGCCATTTGCCCTCTGCCACCCACTTCGGTAATTTGTTTTAGTAGCTTCATTTCTGTCAGAGTGAGACCCCAGGCCGCGTGTCGTCGAAAAAGCTGACCTTATCACGCAACTTGTTCGACCGGCTACTGCAACCAACAGCCACAGGAATCGTAACATGCCCGGTTACGCATCAATAATTTCAGAGGAATATTGGCATGTTGATGACATCAGGTGAGGCTGACCAACGACACCGTAGCCATTGCCCAAATTTGGGGGCTATGGTGTGACGTCAGGCTAATGCAGATTCTCTCTTACAATCCCCTACCTATTTTTGCGCACTATACCTTGGATAAATATGCTCCCAATGAAACAAATGAGCATTTAAAAATAGTTTATAACATCTCCTTGTTAAGACTTGCAC